ATAAGGCACATATAAGTTTCTTCTTCTGGCGTCCTGTATATAATTAGGATGTGCCTTGTGCCGGGTACAGTTTTCTATATACCACAAAGTGCGTTGCACTATATAAGCCTTCAAGTGCATGTGTGTGCGAAGTGGATGTCGGTGGCACTCAAATGGAATGGTTGGAAAAACCGATTACATTGGATTTTTGGTACTATTAGCCTTAATAGGCTCTAGCATTATGAAATAAGGAAAAACATCATGATAGTTTTTTAAACCAAAACAAAGCTTCTCTTCTTTTACATTGTTTGTTGGAGAAGAACAGCTACCTAAAGCCAAAAAACAAAATTCATTTTGGTATGTATTAAAAAATACAAATTATCAATTTATTAAGATTCAAAAGTGAAAAACAAATGAGTGCAAGATGTTCACTTCATCTTATGACAGCTTCTCAAGCGATATTTCATCCAGGTGTCAGAATTTGATTAATTAGGCCCTGCTGAATTTAAAAGACATTGGTTTGAGTTTTTTATTTACTTTTTCCCCCCAAAAGAACAATATCTAGAGTGTAAATAAATTACTAGAAGATAAAAGCCGATGTGCAAGAATGTGATATAAATTATTTATTAAAAGAAAGGGAGTAAGTTTAATTTTCCTTAGAATCCATCTTTCTGTGTCTGCAATCACACACAGCCAAGTCCAAGGAACTGCTGTAAATTTCTAGATTCAAGTGCAAGTTGCAGGACATTCCCCCCGTGGAGAACCTCCTCGCCTTCAATCAACCCACTGGCCAGCACTCTTCTTAAACCTCGTTAAATTCAGCACACACTGTCCAGAATGTGACGGCAAATGCATAAATTAAAATTGCACATAAATTTTGCCATAAGAAACGACACCCAAGAAGAGACCCAACGACAGCGACGGCGTTGACCCCTACGGACAACCCCTTAAACTCCTAAGAAACTTGTACACCCTTCCACCCAAAACCCAATGAACACCCCCTCCCTTTTGGGCGAAATGCGTACTCGTAATTTGTGCTTATTGTGCAAGTCCGATGGCCAAGACAGCAGGGAAACAGTGGGGTTGGATGGGGTAGAGCTGGGTTCTGGGTTCTCAGTTCTGGACTCTGGGTAGTGAAGACTGTGCCAAGATGCACATGGAGTCACAAAAGAACCGGACAGCGGTGGCACCCACACCCCAAGCACACATAAACATACACGGCAGAAAATGTAAAGTTAGTTTCATAAACCAAACTATTTTATTCAATAAATTAAAGCTTCAAGATAAGGTTTTGATTTTGCTCATCTAAATGTTATTAAGTTTGTCAGGGAAACCTTGGTTCTAATGACGAAAGGATATAAGGGGTCACCCTTTTCCATAATTTTATTTATATATCTATCAAAAGTTTTCTTCAGTACAAACTTACACCATAGGGTGATCAATATTTTTTCCCTGTGCAGGCGGGCTAAGTACTGGAGTTCCTGTGTGTGTGTGTGTGCTAATATTGAGGTAGGCCGCTGTATTGAATGGTCGTCTGAAGGGGTGAATTGGGGGCGAGTCGGGTGGCAATCGGGGTTCGGGGATCTGGGGGTCAGGGGTCGCAACTTGCACTCATCATCAACTCAAACTCAATCAGCAGCAACAACAACGACAACAGGGACAACAACAAGAAGGGCAACGGCAACATCGCGACATGGTGCATCTGTGTGCGTGCGCGAGTATCTGTGTGTCGCTTTTGACATTTACTTTATGTATTCTTCGCATGTAATGAGGTAAGTGAGGAATGCAAGGGGGATGCCCTATGTACGCGAATCGTACGCACATTTGCACATATATGCGAAATGCCGTTAATTATATACTTTACACGACACGCACACACACACACATAGGCATGAGCCCACACACTCACACTCACACCCAGAGACAGGCGGCGATTTTAATGTACAACAAAAGTGCATTGTTGTTGCCGCCGAACGGGATTGTGTGCGGGTATATAGGTGGCACCCTCTCTCTATGTACAACAACTAGTAAATGCGGCCACCTATATATATATATATATATATATATATATCATAGTTATGTACAGCCTTAAATCGCTTTGTTAAACTGGTATATGCAAAATAAAAAAAATTTTAACTCTTTTTTTCACGCACAAAAATGTGTAAAGCCGAGAGCAAAAAAAAGAGGGAAATCTGAGGTGGGTTGCAAAATGTTGCCATAGGCATAGAATGGGTCACCCGGCAGGCAGCATCCCTTATCATTATGATAAGAGGGGTCAGCTCATCTTTTTTTTTGGCCAGCGGCATGAGTGTTTATATTTGCAATGCACTTTTTTGCAATAGCATCGAAGACCACAAAGGAGCTTGTTGTTGCCTTTGGTAATTTTCAGTTCAGAGTGCTTCCGCACTTCCGAATGTATGTTTGTATGTACGAACTCTCCATACGCTTGTTTATTTATCGGTGAATTTGTTTGATTTGCATGGGCAGACAAATGCAGCAATATAACCACTAACTATAACAATATAACTATAACTAATATTTTAATAATATGTATAGGTTTTAGTTACACGTTAGGGTCTTATAAGTCGGTCCCTTATTTACTTTGTAATCAGCAAAAAATTAAAAATTCATTGAAAACTTCTTGAAACGGAAACAAAAGTCGTTACAACTTTTATTTAAATTCAAATTTGAATTTTCGTTCCATTCCTATAATCCCTTTTCATATATTCAGCCCTCGTTTCAGTGTTGATAAATTCCTAAATGCCTTCGCGCTTTGTTTATGCAGTGGCTGATTTGAGAACTATTTGACTTAGCGCCAGTCACTCAAGTGGTCGATTTGTGGAACTACAGCTGTATGAAATATGTAGAAAAAGTGTGGAATGTATATTACATGTAATTGTCAATAATATGAAATGTCGTAAACCGCCGGAACTTTGTAGACTTCTTTATGGCCCTTAGCTAAAAAAACACTAAGTATTTTTGCTGCCCCCCCTAAAAATCAGCATTTTTCCAATAGTGGTCGTAATTTGGAATGTTGTACCTCGTTGAGATTGTATTCCCAACTAAACTGAATTCACAGTTTATAGTGTAAAATTTTTTCCATTTTTTACCAAATTTGATGTTGTTGCCCCAATTGTGCGAAATTTCCTTAGCAAAGCCAAAAATGGTCAAAAATGCATTTAAGCAAAGGAAAGTCAAATTGATTAAAATCATTCAATAAATGTTGAGCATCTTTTCCTCAGAATAGTCGTTTCGTTAGGTGTAACAACAATTACAACATTAAGGCATAGCTAAAGTATGCAAATATTGGTTAACATTCCTAGTTCTTTGATATTTAAATATCCATATTTTTCTGAGTCAGAGATCTTTCTTTCATTTCATTTAAGCAGTTTTATAAAACATTATACATTTTATTTTTGGCATAATAAAATACTAATAAAAATATAAATACATATTCATAGTAAAACAATTTTTTTATGAGTTTAATATAGTGAAAACAAAAAAACTTTATATTTTTATTAAACATTCCAGATCCTATGTGATTTCCCTTGATTCATCCAGATTTTATTCCTAAAACAAGAAAAGCACATTAAAAATGTACATTTATAGATTAAGGCAATAACTCACCTCGAGTAACTCCCAGGAATGTTGTCCATCGTGAAAGGGTTTAGATGTAGAATATATATTTTAGTTAAAGAAATTATATAGATCTATGATCATACCATGCAAAAGCAATTGTTTAGAGAAGAGTGCACAAAAAGAAGGTGGAAGTGACTGAATACTTAATATATTTTTGGATCGATTTCGGAAAATTGGGCATTTTTGAAAGGACTTTGGAAATAAATAGAAGAAGGATGTAACGAAAACATGCCGAAATACTGGGATAAATAGAGGAGATTTTCTTACAACTGTTACTTTCCACGAGGGAAAAATGAAAATAACTGGTCATACATACACGCAGCATTCCTTCAGCTGTTTAAATCTTAAGTCAGTTGTTTTGGCTAGCTGGATATATATTATATTTGTTATATAATTGGTTCTGTTATGGGAATATCGTAAAGAAGGAACTGGATTTTAATTTAGTTTCAGCTGGTTGTTGACAAACTGCGCGGGGATCAGAATTTTCCTTTTAGTAAAATTTGCCAAAAATTCTTTATTTTTTGGAAATTATCTTTGAAATTTTACCACTTTGAATATAAATGTCAAACGAGTTTGTTTTTGGCTCTTTTGTCCATTCGTTTCAGCGTAATTACTACGTAACCTAATCATTGATTTTTACAGTGTATTAGGTGTAGTTTTGCAATGAGTAAATGACATAATGGATTTTTTGTGATGAACATTGATACAATATATATTTACACTTTTATTACATATGTGTGAAAATGTACCTTAAGCCTAGCTCGCAGCAGTTTCTAGAATAAAACACAAATTACCTTTCCGTCTGTAGAGAGCAGCTCCATCTTCGTCTTCAGAGAGTCATCATCCGAGGTCCAAGAATCTTTGATTTCGGAGAATAAAACCTAATTTGTTTTTTGGTATTTCTGTCAAATCTTTTCTTTTTGAATTTTTATTATTGAATAATAATTAAAATTTTACAATCGCTTTACTCGGGTTTCTTTTTCTTTTCTTCTTTGTTTCCTTTCAACTTTTATTTTATATTTTTCTTCTATAATTTACTATTTAGGTCAAAATGACCAATTTAAATTTTCTTCTAATCTTTTATGTCATATTTTTGTGTTCTTTAGTTAATTCTGTATGTTTCATTTATACGCAATTATTTAAATTTAAATACTAATAACGACATAAAAAATCAGCGCTTTTCTTTTGTTTTTTGTTTTTGTTTTCTGTGTTCTTTGTTTCTTTTTCACTTTTTAAAATTAATTTAATTTAAATATTTACTAGGTTACGATTTCATCCCGCTTGATTTGGTTTTGGTTTTTATTCAACCCTTTTTAAATGACTAATTAAATATTAATTTAAAGTTTTATGTGTTTTTCTTTTTCTTTTTTTTCATTTATATTATTTAATAGAGAAAGGAGTTTGGTTTTTGTTTTTCATTTGTTTTTGTTTTTTAAGAAATATATACTTTTTATGTATATTTTTTAAAATTCATTTAAATGCAACTAGTTGTAGGAAAAAGTTTCATCATTTGCTTCAAATATTTTCTTTTATAATTTATTACATAGTATACTATATATTAATATATATATACTCGTTTGTCTGTGTAAAAAGAAGTATATATGGTACGTAAGCACATATATATCCATGTAAATATACACACATATGTATAAACTGTGTATTTAATGGTTGATGAAAGAACTATTTTCCAAACTGTCCTCATTATGAACTAAAACTTTATTAGTTTCAATATCCATTCTCCATCATTACAACGCCCTGTTGCATGGCCTCGACTAATGTTGCCGATTAATTCAGCCCAGACAGAGAGCTTAACTATTTCCTATGTACTCATATTTATTTACTGGGGTGACGTTTCTTCTTTAAAAATTGCTTATATGAAAACTTTGGTTCAACTTCAGCTAAGTGGATGTTGAACATAATCCAGTTATTGATTGCTATTTGAAAACGGCCATCAGATATTTGAGTTGGGCTTTTTGGTTTTTGGTTTGCTTTCTTTGCTTTGTGTTAAATAAGCACAATTGATGGAAATGTATAAAAGATTTAAAATTAGTTATTGTTTTTATTTTTCATGCTGGCAGCTTGTTTGCTATGTTCTCTATTATTATTTCTTTAATACTCTTAAGCGTTAGGATTGAAATCTATCGTTAATTGTTCTCACTGACACTCGCATTGGAAAAGCATACAAAATCAAATCTATACTCGTATATGTTTATCAAAAACATTGAGAAAACTCCCCACAAATCCATTGGTTTCCAAGCTACTCTTGTGGGCATACAACAAAATGTAAAAAGAATTTCACCTTCATCAAAATATAACAAGTTCTCATATTATTTTACACTCTGGATCTTTTATCAAAAGCTAAACCTTATTTATAAATCTTTTTGATCTATTCAAAAGTAAAATAACCAAAAAATAAGAGAAAAAGTCAGAAGTTTGTATAGTTCGGCATAAAAATTCTGTATATAAATTGATGTTCAAAGGTGTCCTTTAACCAAATCACATAAAAACCAATTTGTTCTATATTCATATTTCCTCATCTATTTGTTCGATTTGTTCGTTATTCGAAATATATTTATTGTTGTATGTAAATCTATTTCTAGTATGTTTTGTTGAGTTCGCATTTTTTAGCTCTTTGGATAGAATCTTAACAATTTATGGGTTTCTGTGTAGCCTAGTCTAGTTTGAATGACATCGTTTAATTGCTAATCATATTTCCATTATTTATTTTTGAATTTTTTTGGTTTTTTGCATTTTACTGTGGCCTATATGTTTTCGTTTTTGTTTTTGTTTTGGTTTTTTGGTTGTGTCGTCGTATTGTTTATATTCAAAGAAAAATTCTGATTGTTTACATTGCACAAGATTTACAATTAGAAGCAGAATAACTGTAACTTAAAAATTAAAAAGCTAATTCCATTTCGAACGTTTTCTTTGCTTTTGTGTGGAAAGAAAATTCAGTGTGAAATTTCGACCAACGCAGTTTTGCTTTTTATCTCTGTTTTTGGTCATGGGCTTGAGTTCTCCTTGGGAAATATGCCGAACAGATCATCTTCTCTTAGATTTCCATTCGCATTCCCCAATCCAAATCCCAGACCGTGTTAATTTTTAAGATTTTTGTTTCTTGTATTCCTTTGTTTTGTTTTTTTCTTTTTTTTTTTCCTTGAAATTGTGTGCTTGGCTAGTAAGCGGACAGAAACATACTTTAAGATTATAATATTGGGATTAACCGGCCATCAAACAACCGAGTGTGTGTGTTAGTGGGTGTGTATCTTGTGTATGGTACAAATATATGAAAAGTTGGGTCAGATTGACTCACGCTAAACTCCATCATATATATTATATCTGTATAAAGCTCCTTGGTTTATATGTTCTGGTTGTTGTGGTCTCTGATCAAGTATGTTTTGTGCGCTCATTACTAAAGCAAGCACATAATTACCCATGCACCGGCATGTTACGTGTTCTAGGGTCTTGTGATGTTCATTGTTATTGGTAAATCTCGAGTACTGTTCTCTGTTGGTTTTGCCTCATTTCCAATTGATTGTTTTCTGTGTTGAATTGCTTTCTGGTGTCGTACCTTAACTTTTAGTATTTCAAAATCATAAATAAAACAAAGGAAATGCAAAATTAAATGAAATCAATACCGAAAGTTAGATTGTGTAGAGTTTCGCTGTTCTCAATGCGCTGAAGGAGCGAACTCTTGCCCTCTGTCGTTGACCTCGCGCAATAGTTCGATCGATCATCGTTTGCATCACCAAAAAATCATGCAATTCATCAACACGCAGATATTATTGCTCGCAACCATTTAATTTTATAAATTCATTTCCTCGTGCAACGCCAGTGAACATGAAATGCAGTCCTTCGGATGCATTTCATTTACTGAACGCAATTCTGGGCTCATCATTACCTGCTGTGCCTCTTCTCAATTATTTTCTTATATATTCGCTCTTTTCATCTTTTCATTTGCTTTGTTTTGATTCTTCCATTTTCAATGTTATATTCCAGTGAATTTTCTTAATTCCAATTCAGATTGGTTATTCTATTGGTTTTGGTAAGATTTAAGGGGTTTCGGTTTGGTTTTGGATTTATCATTTGGTTTAGACGTTCAACTTAAGAAAAGTTTAGGGGGAGAGAGGGAGCTAGTTACACAGTATGTAGGATATGTAGGGTTAATTGGTTCTGTTTTTTTTGTTTACTTGTTTTGTTTTTGGAAATGCATTTTCGTCTAGAGAGAGATAGAGAGAGGGGGAATGTGGCGGAATCTCTTAAGTGGCCTAGGTACTAATTGTTAGCAAAAAGTTGCTCGAAACAAATCCCTGGACTGACTTCAATTCTGAAGAAGAATACAAAATTTAGTTGTCCGTCTGTAGATCTTAAAACGTTGGGTTTTCATATTCATATATTCGCAAATTTCTCATCTACATTTTCTACAATAAAGCTCACAAATCGAAGTCTTCCAAAAAGGGTTGGGTTTGGTTTTTGCTTTTAATTTGCCTTTGAAATACTACAATTCCCGTTGAAGTCTGTCAAAAAAAAATGTTTCGAAAACCCATGTGACTATTTCGTATGAAAACGCCTCGCTTATTCTATAAAATATAAAATCTAAAAAGAAAATATACCCGTTTTGCTTGCTTGTCAAACATATATGTATATATATATATTCAATGGAAGAAATATAGATACTGGCTTGTGGGGGCTTGCGGGGAAGTGAGGGGATTTCTTGGATTTACCATTATGTAGATTTTTTTGTATAGAATTAGGAAAATTGGAATTAGTTAGTTTTTAACGTTTTTTTTTTAGTATATGATGTTGGTTTAAGTCTCTTTTTAGTGTCTGTTTGATTTAATGAAAGACTTTTTAAACGAGAGTTTTATAAATAAATTATTGTGTTTTCAGAGACGAATTTTTAATTTTTTTTAGTTTTTTTTGGATGTATTATTTAGTCAATGGTTGGTTTTTATCATGTGTTTTCCTATTTTTTTGTGCTTTTTTTAATTTGTTTTTTTAGTTTTAATTTACTTAAAAAGTTTCGTTATTAATTTAATAATTAACAAATTGATTTTATAATAAAACCAATAACAATAACCACCTCGCCCATATGGCTACGAGACAATAATATGTGGTGCTGATAGTAGTACAGCTATTGTGGCTAATATTGTGAACATTGTGAATATGATAAGGCACAGTCTGTCAACGACCATAGCTGCAAATTTCCAATCATTGGCAATGTCATTGCACTCGTCATCTTTACGTAGCTGTATATTATATTTTATATATTTTTTTATTATTAATCAAAGAGAAAGAGTGGGTTAAGTTGGAGAGAAGAAGACGAAGCAAACAATTAACGTTTGTAGGAAACTATTTTTCGAGTGCTATAACTAGGTTAAGCATGCATGTAGTATTCTTATAAATACAAACAATTTAAATATTAAAACATTGATTAGTACAATATATGATCGGCACAATAGAGTTTTGGATATCCAACTTACCTGATCAGTTATAAAGCGAATTTCCTTTAAGATTAAACCTAATTCATATTCAGTTGATGATTTGATGCACGTATGATGGGTGACCGCATCCGGCATTCGGGTGCTGCCAATTGGCCCAATGCTGCCATCGTCGCCTTGTCTGTTTTGCGATTTGGACCAGGCCGAAAACGAAATAGAAATGTGGCACGTGAGTGTCTAGATTCAGTTAAACCAATCCCAATGTGACTCGTTACCCATAAACCGTGCGATAGAATGCCGGATTGTGTGGCAGTGTTCCGCCGGGCGTCATGGGGCGACAATTGTGCCGGAAGTCATCATCGATGTCTAGTACGTTGGCCAGAAGTGATTTCGACGAGCTTCATTACGAGTGGAATAAAATCAACTTTAGTATCCTTCAGTACGAATAGCAAATACAATATGAGCAATTTTTCTTATTCCTGCTTTCGCTTTACACTCGAAGAAAACGAGAGCAGGAATGCCATAATTCGAATTCTAAATACCGCTCTTTCAGCTCAACATCGGAGAGTATCTGATGCTTGCGCTCGGAGGAGGTGTCCGAACAGGGCGTGGTCGGGAACTCCAGGATCAGCGGTCGTCCTGGTCGACTCATTCGCAGTATCCATGGCAGCCAGCACAAAAACACGATGCGTATCTAAGCGGCAGGTGGCGAAATGGAAACGTTTAGTGGGACGGACCCAAGGATAATCCGATCAAAAATCAAATTTGATGTATTTATGCTCCAATTGCGTGTGCTAAAAGTTCGTGTTTGTGGATGATGACTGCTCTGTGTGTGTGTCTCTCTCTGTCTGGGTGCAAGTGTTGGGGCCGAAAAATGTGTGGAAAACTCAAGCGGACTTTCCACGATTTATGGCTATTTTGCATGAAACGGGGCACTCGCACCCAGACAGATGACCACAAGTATGATTTATATTTGATTTTGATTACAACTAAAGCAACACTGTTTTGGAGTCCCTTGGAGTCCTTTCATATGTATATATATTGAGAGAGAGAGAGAGAGGCACATAGCAACATGTGGGTGTTGTTTGGTGTTTGTCAGTCTGCTGGGTGATTTGTTATTACACTTATAATAATATTTATGTGGGTATGTTTCAGTTTTCGTGTGCGAGAAATGGAGTGTGTTCGCTTTTCGCCATGGTCTCTGCTTATTTATAGCTACGGTGCATGCAAAATTTATGATCTACAACACAAACACAGATACGTTTACAGATACAGATACAGATTAACACATATATATATAGAACGAGTCACAAACACACACAACACTTGCTATAACAATAACAATAACAAACATCTGAGTTTATAGTTTTTGGCCTAAAAGCTGCTAAGCTGTAAACAATCTCCCTAAAAGACATTCACACCGATCTCTTGATTTATGCTAATTTCCCCTCTATTGGTTTAGCAAGTGAATTTATGCTAAGAATTTGGCAGTATCCTTGTATATCCTAGCACTTATAAAGCTTTCATTATGTCAAAACTAAACCAAAACATATGTATAGTTTTAAAGTACCCTTAACAATAAAATTAATCCTTTTCCTACCCTGCCTTTGTATTTAACAGTCAATAATTCCGATAACAAAGACCGATTGCGTATCTCAGTTGAGCCTTATAATCTCATTCATCAATGATTGTCATCTGGTTAGTTGGTAAGGGGTAAACCGGTTATCTGGTTGATGGCTAAACTGGTTAACTGGACTGGAGTACTGGAGGACAACTCAAATACCGCCATGAGAAGAAGGAAGGAAAGGACAGCACTGTCGCAAAAACGCAAATCGATGGGATAGTCAGAACATGTTTCGCTCCCTCACTGCAGCTTATCCCCAGGCATCGGTGTTCGAAGCTCTGCATCCCGTAACGTCCTTCCACCATTCGAAATCCGTAATGCAGTTGAGGAGCTGAAAAACCGACGCTCTTAGCTGACAAGCTCGCTTGCAGTTTGTCTGAAACTGTCGTTGTCCCTGGCCGTCCCACGTCCGCCGTCCTTTTTGGCCAGGCTGGCTGCCTCCGCCATCATGTCGGTTCCTCCTTGCTGGCGGTTTTCCTCTATTTTTTTCCAGCTTTTTTTTTTGTTTTTTTGTTGGCCAACAAGCGAGGAGCTTACATGGAAATGCGCTTCAGGACGTGGCATGCAAACTAAATGCAAAGTTAACCATTGCCATCGAGCAACTGGCATTGCCATATCCATATCAATGCGGCCCACCCACACTTGCCACCATCTTTTGTGCAAATTTTGCGCAAATTGATTTGTTGTTATCACACAAAGGCGCGGGGCCAAGCGGGTGTTTTTTGGTGGCACACAAAGTCTCTGGGGCCAATTCAAGTGGCAGGCGACAGTCGGCAGGAAGGACTTGAAAAAGGACTTCTTCGGCATGCACATTTCTAATGCACCTGCCTAGCCCTGCCTTACCCTGCTCCTCGAATTGGCTCAATTTTCGGTGCCGTGTCAGGACAACTCACAACTGGGCCAACTGTCAAGCCCCCAAACTTCCCCCCTTGGTTACTTTGTGTGTACTCTTACTCGTACTCGATTCCTTGCTTTGGTTTTTCCCCTCATACGCGTTCCAAATTCAATTGTGTGTCGAGGGGCGGAGACCCTCAACATTCTTGCGCGAAAACCATACAAAACTTGTCATGTGAGTGACTCCTTAAAAGCCAATCGACTTGCTGAGCTGCCCTTATTCTTGATTTTTTCTTACTTTTCTGGGTCTCGTCTAGCGAAACTTTTCATTATGCACTTGGAGGCCATTGCAATAATGTACAGAAATTGCTTTCCACTTGACTGTCTTGTGAAAATATTGTCATGAAATGTCTGATATTTTCGACTATTGATATCATTATTTGAAAGCTTAAAGGAAAATAAAGAACTTCATTGCTATTTCATGAGGTAAATGGAGAAGGAAAACTAATTTAACTTCAGAAAATATTACTAAAAATACTTTTTCTTAGGAATTTAAGCAACAAGTCGGGATTAAATAACGTGCTTTATTGTTAATCTCTAAAATGTTAAATATAAAAGTGAATCAAAGATATTAAACACCCTAAAACCTTAACTTTAACTGCAAGTCTTACAATTAATATGTAATACAATTCCTTTGAAAACCTGAAATAATTGTGAGGTAAAATGAAATTAAAGTGCTTAGCTTTAAAGTAGATTACTTGTATCCAGATTTAAATTACATTTGTTAAAATCAGTTACTAAAATTGCAACTATCCTCCTGAATTCGAGACCCCTATTATCCTTTATTCAATTAATAAACCGCCTGCCGCAAAAGGATCTTTTTAAACCATTTCACACTCAAACACACACTACAGCACACACATAGAGACTATGTACAGAGATATATGAATTAAATATGTACTTAGAGGTGAAAAAAGATATTGGGTAGGTAAATAGAGGCTAGAGTACAATTTACAGGACGTCGTACACCAGCACAGCGTATTACATGATGCATAATTGGACAGCAGTTTTAAAGCTGCCATCTGCTTTGGTTCCATTTTTTCTTTAATTTTTTGTTGTACATCTCTTTATTTGTTAAACCTATTCAGGGACATTGGTAGAGGAGTATAATGATGCACATACAAAAGCTTGTGTGCAACTGGTGACAAAGTTACGAGCAAAAAGGGATTGGGATTGGGACTCGGGTTGGATGGCATTTGGATTCTTGCTGGGGGGATCGAGGATGTGGCTGGCATACACGTAAGTACAAATTATGGGCCCAACATCAACATTACGATATTTTTCATTACATAAATTATTTTATAGTAGACACGTATAGTAGCTAGACATGTTGGATGGTTACAACATTCATTTCGTACTCTGTACATCCGTCCGTCACATTTCGGCTCGGCATTCCCTTCGTTATATTACGTTGCTCTTGGTTCTTTTGATTTACGTTTTTCTTCTTTCTTCTTTTTGTTTTGGGGTCACACACACAGGGGTCGACGGGGTCTAAAGCTTATATCAACTGACATTTCTTTCGGTTGTTGGTTGGCTTGGCTCTTTGGTTCTCAGCTAAGTTTGCAGATACAGTTATGTATACTAACAAAATCAAATGGGGCAAAAAATAAAATTGCAGCTTGCATAACAGCCTCTAAGTAGGCATCAAAAACTAACAAAGAACCAATGGAAAAACCGAACAGCATAAAAGGATGTTTTTCTCTTTTTGTGTATGAAACAGAAATGCACAACAACATCAACAATAATAACAATTAAAGGGATATTGAACAACATTTATTTGTGCAACTATTTGCAAATACGTTTTTTAGGTATTTTTTAGTAGTTTAAATGTTTTTATATTTTCAAGGGAGCTTTCGGCTCTTTAGAGGGATGAGCTTTGAGATAAAAATATGATAATTTTTCTCTTTTTTGATTTGAAATGATAATGGTTTGTACTAGGATGAGTTTTACTTTGTGGAAAATCTATTTAATCTGTTATATACTTTACGTATATGAATGGAATAAAATATTTTCAGTGGTCGTTAGCCTATGCTCTAAATGCTCTAATTTATTATTCTTATTTTGAATTTTTATAATTTGAAATTGATGTTCCAAACAATATATTTTTAAGAAAGAAAATGATCGAAGATATTTGTACTTGATTAGAAAAGCTCATATAATCTGTGAGAAGTTCTCATTTGGCTTGAAAAAATATCAAACTGAATTTAGTCTCATGAAATAGATATGCTTAAATGTTCAGTAGAAAAAACTATTTAATCTCAATATTGTTTTATTGGTTTATGTTTATTTCGTTTAGGTTTCGTTTTTACAATAAGGAACACAACACAAATTACAACAAGTAACTAAACAATGTGAAAATAGCTAACACAAAAACATTTCGCTAGCTAACACATAAATTATCTTTGCATGGCTCTCACATAACATTTTGCAATTTCGTCTCTTTTGGCAGAGATAAATCATATAAAAAATGCTAATTCTATGCGACAGTGGCCTCAAATTCAACAGCAACAGAGGACTCTGGGGGAGGAGAAGGGCTTCGCCGATCCGAGCCACGTTTTCAGGGAAAAGGATATATGTGTGGGCAGGATATATGGGAGGTTCCCCTGGAGCTGCCGTTCTGCGGCCACTGAAAACTAGCTGAAGCTATAAATGATGAGTGATGGTCGCTTTTGCAGTTGTTTCTTATTTTGATATTTTTGTATTTGGTTGGTTGGTTGGAGAGAGTTGTATTTTTTATTTTTTTTTGGTTGCTGTGGTTGTTTGGGATGGTTGTTTGGTGGGTTGACCTATTTGCGACTTACCCATTCGGACATTTCGTGCGTATCAGCATTTCGATGATGATAATTTAATATTAAAATCGTTGACACAACGGATGAAGCTACCATAAACATTATGCAATTGAAATATGTACCTGTTGGTTGGTTGGGCGTGTTGTCAATATATATATATATATATATTATAATATTATATATATTTATTATGTTCAGTGTAGGAATATATATTGTAATTGTTGTAGTGGTGCACGGATTATTGGTTGGTTTTGTTGTTATTATAATGTTGGATTGCAAGTTGTTGTTGGTTGTGTGTTAGTTCGTTTGGGGTAACGCATATTTCAAAGTTCAGATTTTTGTTCGTTTGGTTTTATATGCATTTTGTGAGCACATAATTTTATGTTTTTTGCGGAAGGTACATAGTTTGTTTGAGAGAAAGAAAAAGGCAAGAAATATGTACAAAATATTTTAGTTAGTACATTAAATGCAAAAGTTTTCTGTTTGTTAGCTTCTTAGTCGTTTGGTTTTTTTTAATAGGCATAGCAAATGTTATTTTCGAGAAAAATACATATAGATTTATTGTCTGTTTTTAATTCACACACACACGAGGTTAACTTTAGTTTGTATACTTTAGGCATAGGTTAGGTAAATATAGAAGTTAGACACCAAAAAGTGTACGCCAAGAACGGAATGGAGAATAAATTCAACAAGATAATGTTAATTTTAATTGGATAATTTGAATTTGGTAAGCACTTTTTGGAGGAAAGATATTCGAATTGGAAGATTGTATAATTTTGAGAAACAAAATTATGAAAAAGTTTAAGGAAAGTTCGGTTGTCGGTAATTTAGTTAGCTTTTGCTGATGTAGTGGAGCTGTTCCTTTGTAACTTTGATATGAAAAAACCTTATTATTAATATAATTAATCTTTTTACTTAATTGTGAACTGGATCTGGATAAGGAACAACCCAACTATATGTGTACACTGATATCTTGACAACCGAAACAAAAAATATTTATAGCGTGCAAGAAACTCGTTGGCAAATATGTGTGCATTGTTCAAACCAACTCGTGTTTTAATTTATATATAAGTATTGATCGGCTCTCGGTCTTTAAGATTCATATAATATATATTGTGTATATTACTTTATTAATTTGCTTTTGGCCAAGTTTTTTAAGGGTTTATTAGTCACATTTATATGTCCCTCTAGTTATGATTAATCACTTTTCTTTTGCTACGTTTGTTTTGAAAACATTTTTATTTTTGTTGCATCAGCATGGATTTTCCTTTTAGACCTCAAAGCCAAATATTATTACATAACATTTGACTTTGCCGCCAAAGGGAATACCTTAAGTCGACAGCTGTGCTCCAAAATCATATTTTGGGTTTTTAATTGTGTGTCAAAGTTTTAATATTATAAAATCATCGGATTTTATTTGGATTTTAAAATCATTTTAGAAATGCATGGATATATTAAATGAATATGCAACTGCAACTTTAGAGATATATATATATATATAAACGAATACATAGGTTATATGAAAGTATCACAGTATAAATGTTTAAGTTAATGGTTTGCAATTAGAGAACGACAAACTGAGGAGCACGTGAACTCAAAAGCAATAAGTACACACAGCGATAATAACATGATTTAGGTTTACGTTTACGAGAAGCTCTACCATCGACTACTATTGGTAAACAAAATGATCTTACCCAACAGTGGCACTGCGTCGGAAGTGGCCGGCATTGTCTCGGCAACCATATTGAGAAACACGGTCAGCGAAAGCAAGATGGTAACACCTAGATATCAGATGGAAAGAATCGATTAAGCAATGGGGCTATCATAAACAAGTTTAATTTTTATGAAGAACTTTTCCAGACAAACAGTTTTATTTAGTTTCTTTATTAATGCGTGCACTATCCATTATGATTTTATTTTTGTAAGCGTTTGAATGACATTTAATTGATTTGTAAAAATTTTGTTTAAACTGATATATCTATAACAAGTCTACACCCAACTCAGCATAGTTATTCTCTGGGTAATTATTTAAAAAATAATTTGCCCTAGTTAAAAACGAACTCGACATCAGTCACACTCCCCCAAAGGGTTTTAATACTAAGCTTTTAATACTGTGCCGTGCACTTTCCAACACCCACTTGCTAGACATTTATTTCTATTTCAGTTTTGTGTACTCAAGCAGCGGAGGAAGTAGTAACAGAGTCCTTCAGTTTGGTCGAGTCCCAACTGATTTTCCAAGCCACTAATGCTCTGTCCCGTCGATTGACAGCACACTTCGAGGAGCATTCCCGGCCTTACGCCCGGCTCGTTGAACACTTTTTACTACTCAGCTCCGTGGCATTAAAAGTTCAATAGTTTGTTTACCAGCGTTTGAGACTGTGGCGTCATCAGCAGACACAGCTCTTAGAATGGGTAACGATGGCAATAATGGGCAATGTGCGATGTCAGTCAGTCATCCCAGTCAGTCAGCTAGGTACAAAGTGAGACAGGCAGCTGGCTGGGGAGATGAAGCCCCATTCTTATCAACACGATTATGAAAGGCATCTAATTTGAAATTCGCTACTTTTCCCACCGACTAGGCTGTCATTATTTAAAAAGTACTTGGCAAATACTTTTCGAGCAGCTCTTAAGCTGTTTGCATGTAGGGACTTCCCCTCCTGTTACTCTTAAGTATTTGCATTGCGTAAGTGGTTTGAAATTAATGTGGCTTACTTTCAGCCACATCCCCTTCTAGTTTGTTGCTCCTAGCTGGCATATCTCAGGTACACTTACCCAGGGATAATTTTTCACCCGAATCCGGCGGCAGGGTGAAGCCGAGCAGGGCCATGGAGGCAATCAGTACACAAGGTATGATCAGGTTGAAGAAATAGTATAGTGTTCGTCGGCGGATGATGATGGCGAAGGTTATATCTATATAGGGTTCCGGGCAGCAGTTGTAATAGATCTCGTTACGTTTGCCAGGCACACCTGCGATTGTTCAATTGTACGAAAAGTGTGATTATAAAATATCCTTCGAATTTTTATTCAGTATATATGTTCTTGTCAGATATGTTGTATCTGTGGCGGTCTTTACTTAGTTACTCGGGCTGAGCATCTTGTTCTGAGCATATTACAAGAGTTGAGTAAAGTAGGGAATAGTAGTAGTAGTAGTAGTAGTAGTATATAGTTTAGTTTAGTATAGAAGAGTAGAGGATTGGTAAAAAGCGTGTTCAGAGTAGAGCAGATCAAAGACTAGAGTAGCTGGTAGGTGTAATTGAAGCATTGTTGCCATTTACAGTTCTTGAATGTTTTACAGATATGAGTAGTGGAGGCAGTTTGGCAGGGAGATGTGGTGCAGTGTGGGTGTGCATGCCGGGTAGATGTTTTTCGGGTCTGGGTCTGGGTCTGGGTATGGGTTTAGTTGAGTGTAAACTTAGTTCGGAAAGAGTTTTATTTGTCTAGGCAACTAATTGTAAGTAAAGTTAAGTAAGAGCCGGGCAGAGTAAAGGAGTAAAGCCGAGCAATTTACTATGGGGGAAAAGTTTTTATGCACTTTGCTTTCCAAAATGTAAATACGTAGTAGAAAAGTATGTAGAGATAAGAAATCGTTTGCGGGCTATTCAAGTATGCATATACATGTACAAAAATCAGAGTGTGTATGTTTAGAGGGAAGTTGTGTAAGCCGAGTTTATTGGCTGTAAATTGAAAGTTCCTGTTGTGTCCAAAAGATTATGCAATTTACACTTATTCCCTTGCTCTTTGACTAACTAATACCCCCTACTCTGTATTGGTTTTAATGACTAAACTAAGCAGTTGCCGTAGCTGATTGAAAGATTTTTGGTACTTCTGTTAATCTTTATTCTGTAAGAAACTTTCTCCTCGAACTCTAAAGTACATCTATTCAAAAAGCATGGAGTCCCCTTCCCTGATAACTTCAGCCTCTTAATTGCTTTCCCCTTTGCCCATTTCCCGACATGTTTGCAAACATATTTGCAATGAAAACTTTTGGCAAAAAGCATTTGCCATATGTCGAAAAGAAATGCAGAAAGGACGAAGATAGGAAGTGGGAGTTGGCTACAACAAAACTTCCAGCTAAATTATCTGCTCAACTTACTCCAAGATTACCAAAGGGATTACCAGAGACAGAGCTGCGAACAAAATGCCTTGGCAGCGTATTTAAAAATGACCTAGCTACTTTGGAGGCCCCACCAGAAGCTCCGCCCCACAAACAGTTTACCTCCCATGTCTGGAAGCATTTGGCCAACTCAAAATAATTTGCATAAGCTGGTAGAGAAAAAGGCCGCAAAAAGCGGATGGGAAATAAGGAATGGCTTGAAGGGGGCAAAAGAAAACAAAAACCGCCGAAAAACTTTTGAAAACTCCCGAAAAATTACGCACAGAAAAATAAAAACCAAAAACAGGGAATAAAAGGGAACTAGAGTTGTTGGCAAATGAAACTAAAATTTGTTGCAAACATTTTTCTTTTGCACTTTTGTGGCCAGTGTTGAGTTGAAAACTTTCTGTGTCTTTTGGAGGCACTAATTCACAGTGCATGTATGTGCGAGGATGCAGAAGTATTTGTCTTTTAATTTCTTAATTGGTTCTGGTGCACGGTTCCATTGCCCAACTAAAGACCATAGCTTTTTCTCTTAACTTATCTATTCAGCTAGCTCGAACTTTTTCCAGACTATGAAATGCTTACAAAAACGTGGGAGTGGCTGGATTTTCAGCTTTCATGGTTTTTCCCAAGGATGCAATCATTTGCGGGTTGACTGGATATGTATTGGCTGGGCTTTCGTTCATTAAAATTTTCCTGATTTTTTGCTTTTATTATTTAACTCTAGTTTGTTAACAACTTGATTTCTTGCCTAAGTGATCTTTCTCAGTTCTTTTTGTTGTTTTTAAATTTTAGATAAACGAAAAAGATGTTCACTTCAAAGTGTTTTTAACAATAAAAGCTTAAAGGAAAAGTAAGTATTGTTAATCAAGGTGGACTTACTTTTACAATATATAATCTCTAATCAGTAATAAGTTACTATTTCTTAAGTATTATATTAAGTGAGTCCATCTTGGTTTTAAGAAGAAATAATTTATTTTAAAGTAACGTAAATAAAAGTAATCAGATTTCTAACAAAATATATCTGATTAAAGCTAGTTTAGTGTAAATGGTTTAGTATAATATTTATGTACATTTATCTTCATCGCGGTACTATAATATTCCCTCATATCATTGTTAGGCAAAATGCAAAAATATTTCTATGAATCTTCATGGCTGTTTCAGTAGTTGAATACAGTTCGGATAAGTTATGAGTAAGCATTTTCTATTCAGCATTCAGTTAGATTTTTATCGTATACGCTATCCACATGCCTTTAGCTGCGATTAAGAAAATGATTTATAGATTCCGGGAAAAATAATCTAAAGTAGATGCATTCAAGGACCGGAGCTTACCTCTTAATCAGGCTTAAAACTTATTTTGGGACCTGCACTTGGAGTAGCATATTTAGACTAAAGCGAAGCCTAAAGTTATGCTCCTTCAAGCAGGCATCTTACACTGAGAGTAAACGAAATGTTTACGCGGCTATTTCGGACTTAAAAGTTAAAGCGCCCAAGAATTTTTGCGATAGTTTTGGTTGTTTTTTAAATTATTTTTTTGTTTTGAAAGTAGAGTGAGTGGGAGAACACTGGATAAGCGTGTGATTTGGGTGGAGTACGAAAGTATTTGAGTAAATGGGTGGGATAACAACAGGGTTCATCGAGTGCCTTACTTAATTCCGTATTCATTGACCTCGAAATTGAAATTGAAATTGAATGAATTAACCATAGAAAAGTATCAAAAAGCAGTGATAAAAACCTTCTCATCTCTAAATGATTGAAAAAATGCTTTCAATCACATATCGATGAGCAACACAGTCGTAGTTTCGAACGGAACGAGTTCGGAACTTTAGTTCGCAGCTTGAACCCTGCTCAAGAGTAAAAGAGAGTAAGTAAGAGGTAGAATGAGAGAGAGATAGAGAGTTGAAGTATAATGGTGCGTGTGTCTCTGTGTGTGTGTTTGGCACACAAAAGTATGCTATAAATCAGCCGGAAGGACAAAGCTCCGCGAAGAAGGAGCAGCGAGTCTTTAGCACTCGGCCATTGTCTTTTCGCTGGCGTAGAGTGTAAACTTCCACATTCAACTCCACACACACACACATTGAATTGAGAGCATTGCGGAGTCGTTTCTCATTTTGGTTTTTTTTATCATTTTTATCTGTCTGAAGAACGGGGCAGAGACCGCCTGCTCAGAGTCTGAGTATTCGGGTGTCGAAGTATGTAGAGATTGAGATTGAGAGAGAGAGGAAGGTGGTCGCTCCAGGACGACGTTGGCTTACTCACCCAGTAGTTCCCACTCGCCGTTGAGCACGTAACTGCTGATATCACCGCCAGTTTCATCTTGTAATTGTAAATCCAGCTTTTTATATGATATATATTCGGGGAGAGGGTAGAATAATGTAAATATCTCACTCGCATCAGATCAATGCAGATATAAGAACCAAGGATAAATCATAAGTTATAAATATGCACTCGAATCGAATCGGTCAAGCATAACAACTACAAGTTCTTTTCAGTAAGTTAAGTACTTCCTGGTTGCCTTGCTTGGATGGGAGACTGAACCAAACCTGGAATCCGTCGTATGTCCAACTGCCGAACTTCATCTCACAACGCTGATCGTCGAAGGGGAACCACGTGATGTCGATTTTGCATGTCGACTTGAAGATACCCGGCGGCACATACAGGCAGGACCCGTTGTTCCGCACCACGACGTTCGTCTGGTAGGTGCCGTCGAATCCTTCATCCGCACTGTTGTACATCAGAACGTCAGGCTTCCAGATGCGATGTGGCGGTATTCGCAGATCCTTAACTCCGCCATAGTCGGAGGTGTTCCAGCGCAGATTCATGTCGTTCCACTCCAGTTTCAACCACACATTCGTGACTAGCAATTGATTTTTCTCGTCCTGCGGGTTGTGAGAAAAAAAAACAGAAATATTATAACCAACAGGAAGTTAATTACACACGTCGTACGGTATAAAGTATTAATAATTAACGCGTAAAAAACGCGGATATAATACAGTTATTCATAGAGTGCAGAGTTTGACTGGAAATTCGGACTGGATGTTATTTTTTCATAAAGTGTTTCCTGCCGCACAGGATGCGAGCTGTGTTGGGATTTGGCCAGCAGCTCACACACGGGTGGGAGGCATGGCAATTGAAAAACGCGCATTAATCTGCAAGCTGTATTCATTTCATTCACTTAATACATCAAAAAATTAATCCAAAGCTCCGTAAAAACAAAGGCAGGAACGATTTCAAAAATTAAAAAACAATATTTTCGGGTATGAAACAATTCTTCGCAAATTGTAAGTTGAAAGGAAAGCATAGAAACACTTTTAAAATAGTTCAGAATAACTGCACCCTTTGCTTTCTCTTGAAAATGGATTAAGTCCATTTCTATCACTTATTTTATACAGTATACCCGCCATTTAATTCCCGTGATAATAACACCTCATCAAATTTTTAGGTCACCTTTGGGATGAAAAAGTGAATGCTTAAATAAATAAACAATGAAAGAAAAAAAGGCGGAAAACAGTTCACAGTTTTTACTTTAAGTGAACTTTAATCAAGATAGTTGTTTCTTTTTTAATGCAACCTAGCCTACTCTCCCAGGGGATGTGGCCCAATAACCGAATCCGCGCTTCACAGCGAAACCAGATACCGAAGCCGCCGCAGCGGCAGCTGCTCCTAAAAAATTCAACTGCTGCGCACAGGGCGTATGTGTAATTTACAATTAAATGCCTGAAATATTCATGGCTCACTCGGTGGGCAACAGCAGCAGGAAACAAAAACCCCACAACAGAAAGAAAAATAAAAACAACTGGCGAAATCCAAATCTCGGGCGCTTAACTAACAAAGCGAGAGCCAAGGACCACAGGGATCGGGATCGGTTTTTGGAGGGTGAAGGATTCGGGATGAGCATGGGCTCATCGCGTTGCTCGAATATTTTGTTCGAGCAATTTCCGTTGGGCAGTGTGCAAGTGCAATCACAAAATGGGCTCAAATATGCGACAGGAATGCAGTAGAGATGAAATGGAGCTGCCTGCCCCGACGGAGAGCCGAAATCCCACCCCGTCGGCGGTTCTCCACCTACCAGTATGCTGCCAATATGTTTTCCGGGCAAATCGGATCGGCGGGTGTGGTTTTTGGGTAGGATGAGGGCAAACAGACCAACAAAATCGAAGCATGCGGCAAATATAACGTTGTAAAGGAGCGACGTGGCAGGACTTGGTAATATTGCGGCCATAACGCAAGCCAAAAGCAAACATGGAACATGTCCCTGTATGTGCGAGCCTGGCTAAATATAGCCATTACATTATTGCACTTGACTGCAGCAGAGTCCATTTCGGCCAGCCACCTATCTCCCTTACTCAACGGCAAACATCCTCGTCCCTCTTCCTTCTGCATACTTATATTTTGCAGTGCACTTTGCGACTGCGACCGCAGCAGACAAACAAATGCCTGACGCTAAAAAGTATGCCATGGTTTTTGCGAGGACGAAACCGGATGGCCAAGGGGGATAAAATGGGTGGATGGGGAGGGCCAGGAAACGGGGTCGACAGCGACCTAATAAAATTCCGTTTTCCAAATTGAGTTTCTGTTGACGCTCCATAATTTTGTCGGCTTATACATTGAGTGCGTTTTTGGTTTCACGCCACTCGTATAATTCGTTTAGTTGGCCACGCAAGTGTAATGGAATATCCCTAGAAATCCGTTACATTTCCAGGATTTCGTGTATCCACCCAGCTTATAGGACTTTTTCTTGTTTAAATTTATTAATTTACTCAACTTCAGAGGCAACTCAACATCAACTGCTTGCTTTTGACAGGACGTTGCCTTTTTTCTGGTTATATATTCTAATTGCAGTTGTCGGGGCAACTCCAATTTTTCCACCCATCCAATTTAAATTTTGAATGCGCATGTTCATTCGGAGTAAAAGCGGTGCACACAATTATAAAACTAACAACCGCAAAACGTGAGAGCGTGAAAAAAAACTTAATTAAAACTCTAACAAAATGAAAGCCATGATGAAAAAACTTAAAGTAAATATATTTGATAAAGAGGTGAAACAATTTTGGAACTAAAAATGTGTCAATAAACTTCAACAATGATAAAAAGCATTAAATTTTGTTTTTAATTAATTGTTTTATGTACATAACTCCAAACAAACATAAAACTGTATTAAATCTGAATGATAATTATTGTTATTAGTTAGAAAAACATAAATATTATTGCAGTGTGCATCGTTGGAGTGTTTGAAGCCAGTTTGCCGTTTTTGTGAGTTTCTTAGTGCAGCAGCCGTATAAGAATAGGACATGTAAAAATGAGGCTTATTCGCATTCAAATAGTGTGCGTATTTATGAATGTATATGACCTTATGTGTGTCTACAAAAAGAAGGAAAAGAAAAAAATATGTATATAAATAAATGGCGGCTACGGGCGGCAGTTGTTGAATTTTAAATGAGCAAAAAAAGCAAACGGCAAAATTATTACAGCCCAAGAGTTTTTATTTCCCTTACTCGTTTCTCTTTTTTTGCCCAGCCTTCGACCACGGCAAAGACAAGTTTCGGTATGCGGAAATTTGCATATGTGCGGCGCAAATACATATTCTCGCAAAATCCACACACTCTCCTGCAGAGGCAGCAGTTCATTGACATGGCAGGGCAACAACGTTCGGGGAATTTAAAAAAACAGAAAGCCAACTCGAAGCCGACTGAAACTGTAGCATAAAACGCGGCGCTCGTTCCCCGCGCACACTCACACACAGTCATTCGGTCACAAATACAGACATACTGACGCAGGCCTAGTTTCTCATTGTCCTGTATGCATAAAAAATGGCTTGCCCATCTCGACTTCATTACTCATTTTCCGCTGATATCCGTTGATATTCACCCCTGCCATACCGTCGCCCTGCGCCTACTTAATCACTTCCTCCGCCAGCATATCCTTGGCCTGCGTCTTGGCCCTTGTTTGAGCCCTCTTTACTGCCACTGTCTTTCTTCCATTGATGCCAATTAATCTGCGCCTCGCTTTGTCTGCTCCTTTTTAATTAATGCGCCTGGGAGTTGTTTTATTTGTACTTTCACCGCCTTTTACCTCGTCTCTTCCTCTTCCTCGTCTTTCCCTGTAATTTCACCTCCTCGCTCTGGTTACTTTGCCCTGCCTCACAGTCAACTTCTTTTTGTATCCTGTTTTCACTGGGCTGTTTTTCACTTTCTTCTTCCATTTGGCTCTTTTTTCAGCATAGTTCTCAATAATCCCCTCCCCATTTGTCATGCTGGCTGATTGTGCTGAACGGCTAAGGATTGCTTATTGGCTTACTCACAGGCTGCTTTTCAATTTGACTTGCTTAGAAATGGATTAAATTGCTGGGGATTAGATTCTAAAATAGTGGGCTTTGTCTTAAAACTTATATATTAAGAGAAATAAGATATTACCAATTGAGTCCCTTAATATTGAGGGCAGTTTGCGTGCTTTAATTGCTTTTCACATCTCGCGAAATCTTTCCCTTTGCATTGATTGTTTCATTTTTAAGTCATTAAGTGGTTTCTCTCATTGTTTTCATTATTTACATTTATACGAGTACAGACTCATTCAATATACTTCGGCATGGAGATTGCTTTCAGTCGGCACATTTAATTAAAAAACACTTCAATATTCATTCCTTCGCTGGGGAAATAATTGGAACCGATTTCATCAGCTCTTTTATTTTATTTCGGGTAACAAACGCGATCCTTGGGTATTTCCGAAGTGCATTTAAACTGCACAATTGTTATTTCTCTTAAGTTAATATACTTGTATGTTTTTAATAACAAACACTCTTGAGGTTGTTATTAAAAATTAAAGATGAATAAAAGGCTTTTTAAACTTATTTTTATTTATAGCTCAAAACACTAAGCACTTAACCCCTAAATTTATAACAATTAAATTGAAAAGCTAAAGCTAAGGTACAGTTGCGTTAGCAGTAGGTCAAAGAGCTGCCCCAATTCCAGGCGAACACTTTGCCAGCCACAAGCCATTGAGCAATCCTCTGGACAGGACAGCCATCCAGCCATTCAGCTGTGTGCCTGTGACGTTGTGCTCATTTGACAAAGTCGTATCTTCTGAACAGAAAAACGGGAACGGTTTTGGAGGAGGACACACAGGCACACGGATCCTTCGTTTTAGTCATTTGCACAGGCAACAACATCAATCAAAGTGAAAGTGAGTGAAGCTCTACATGCCCCCTTAAATCCCCAGACCCCGGCCGAAAATGCATTGAAAGCATTTGCGAAAGTATGCCAAGCATGTCCATAACCATCTATGCACATGGGAAACCTGTTTATGTTGATGGAAACCTTGCAGACCCAACGAGCATTGATGGCTAACGTGAATGGTACTGGGCCAAGAATAGAAAACCGCTGGCAAGTGTTGCACGAAGGCATTCTAATTTCGTTGCCAGGCGTGGCGCATAACAAAGGGAAAGCTCTTCCGGACACTTACACAAACTCATGACTGAAGAAAATGCAATTTCCAGCAGCAAAATTGCCAACAGGAAGTGAGAACGGGGAGACGGCAACAGGAGGCCTTCCGCATTGTCCTTTACATGAGGGGGAGAGGCAGGTGACCTCCGGGGAAAGCAATTATGACCTGTGCTTCACATAAATCAAATGGGGATAAAAACCATATTACACAAGGAGGACTGCCATTGTTTAAATGGGCGTGTGATTAGAATCCTCCTAAGCTCACTTTCTGAAGAGCCAGCTGTTGACATTGCCTGATAAGTGAAATTGATGAAAGGCAAAGGGTCCTCAATGTATCCATTTTTCCTTTTGTTCAGAAGGACTATGGTTGAAGCACTTTCGATTGCAACTTGCCATTGGTGTTGGTCCTGGCTCTGGTGCTGGAAAATCCCTGCCAGGTGCTTAATCTTTAAATTGCTTGGAGACCGAGTTGGAGGAGGCAAAAAAATATGCAAATGCAAGGGGAGCCACTGCATTTAACAGTTAAAATATTGCCACCGTCGATTGCTGGCGTATCCTCAAAGGACAACTAATGGCCCTGCCGACCTGCAACTGGCAGAAAAATCGTTTACTTTTTACAAAAAAATGCTCTACTTTACACCGAAATTTCTTTTCACTTTTCATCTTTTTTTTGGTTTGATTGATTGAACAAATGGATTTGGAATATTTTTTTCAGTTTGAACCATATTTTTTGATGGCTGTTATTAAATTCTATGATTTTTTCAAAATATTCTGTATCAATTTAAAGAACTTCCTCAAGAAATGAACACGAATGCGTATTCTTTCTCTTTTTTCTTGGTTAACTGATGCAATAAACGAAAATGGGGAGTGGCAGGAGAGTAATATCCTTTATTATCGCGCCATATGCAACTAATTTCCTTACGATTACGATTCCCCGTGAAGCATTAACAACTTTTGATTGCCGTGACATCTAAGCGGGCCACTAACAGTGCGCAATAAAAGTTTGAGTACACCACACGGGGCCCATAAACCCTAGTTTGGCATTCCAAAGGTGGCAACGGCCGTCATTCTCTCTCATTTTACCCGAATGACCCGATTTTGTTTTTAATGCCCAGCGCGTTGCTCTCAGCTGCCAGTTCCCTGTAATTGCCGCTTTTCTGCTGCTTTTGCTGCCTTCGTTCCTGCTGCGTTTCAAGGAGTGCGTGCTGCAGTTTTTACTGCCACCTTCCAACACCCAAACGGGCAACAAATAACGACCGCCAGCGCATTGTGCCCATTCGTTCTGTTCTTTCAACTTCATTTTGCACCAGCAGCAACTCTCACTTCATTGCTTTGCCCACGCGATCCCGCCTCCCATTCCCGACGCAGGAACCCCCAAAAACACCCATCGCCCAGCCCTCGGGTTTATATGTTTTGGCACAAGGTGTGAAAAGCACATGTGCAAATTTTATTTATTCATTTTATTTGCATGTCAAGTGAGTACGGGTGTATTTTATTGTAAATGCACGGCTAAAAGTTACTGAAACATGGTTGAATCAATTTATCCCTGTTTTTAGTTTAGTTTATTTAGATTTAGATAACGCTAGCAACTGTAGCTTTTGAATGTGATTAGTAAATACACGTCGATGTCAGCCCTGATTTGTTTGGATTTATTATTCTAGGATTGGTTTATGAAAATATGGATTATTATTGGATTTATTCCTTAGAAAAGCTCCAAAAAACATTTACCCAGACTTATTCAGGCACAAGCAATCTGGCAACAAGAAGTTGTTACCTTTTATTCCCTTTGAAATTGCTGTTTAATGGCCGCCAATTTCTTCGAGTGTACTTTGCATCGCTTTTTCACTGTTTGCCTTTGTGTGAGTGTATTTGTTTGTATGTGCGACTTTTAGCGCGTCACTGAATGCGCAGTTTTCTAGCGTCTGGAAACGTTTTCGCTTTTATTTTTTTCTCCCCCTTTTTTTCTTTAGCCATATATGCCAGCAGCAACTTTTCTGCGTTGCTGTTTTTGCTTTTCATGCCTCATGTGTGAGTGCCTTTTGTTTGTGCGCTCCATTTTGCTGAATCCCAACTTTATGCGGGACACCAGGCTCTTTTCCGTGGCTGAGGATCTGGTCCTGGTTGGGTCCTGGCTGCTGGCTCCCAGCTCCTAGCTCCTGGCTTCTGGCACGGGGGATGGCCAAACAAACAAGCCACACATACGGACAAATGCAATGCAAATCTAATATGAATTGAGGTTGTCTCACTAACAAAGGCAAACGCCTCGCGTCGCCTTTTCCGACAGTTTGCACCTTACTCGCTCGCCAGTTCTTCTTTCTCTAGGTGCCACCACTGACTTTTCACCCCCATACGCAATTGTAAGTTAGGGAAAAGTTTTCGCAACTGATGAATGCAGAACGACCGCCCGACCGACCGAACGACCGCCCGCCCTTTCGAAAGGTGAAAATGAGTCAAACGGCGCACATGCCACATGACGTTGCATGTAATTTGCTCGACACTGCCAGTCAGCCAGGATATGTGTGTGTCCTGTCTGCAAATAGGCCATAGGTATGGCGAAGAAGAGAGAGCGAGGTGTGGGAACTGCCATTCAAGGAACAGCCAACAGGCAGCAGGACATACACACATGTGTGTGTGTGCTGTGCTCTCCGGCAAATAATTAAAATTTCACTTTCTTGGCAATTCACTTTTTACCCAGGACCAAATTGTGTCATCAGGGATTCTTTTTTCAGCTGCCTTAAAGTAGGCGCCTTTCAAAGCAGGACGAGGTGGAAAAAAGTTGTGAAACCGAAAGTTCCTTGCTGACACAGGACTGGCGGTAATTAAAAGGGGAAATTAAAGGAATGCTTTTAATTTCATGATCTTTAGTGACAGTGAAAGTTCCGAGTAAACTAAGTTTCGCCTGAATCTATGCCTTTAATTTGGCTATTTTAAGTTTAAATTCAAAGAAGATTCTTAATATAAGTTATAAATATTATTATACGAAAGTTAAATCTAACTATTACTTACCACATCGATAATTTGCATTAAAGTTAAACCAAAGCTTAATTGTAACGGGTCCGATTCATTGAGAACGGGACGTTCTAGTGTATTATAAGGATCCAAAAGATCGTGTAACAGTCTCTTTTCATGATATCCTGCTAGGCAAACTGCAAGTAGATAAAATACGAATTAGTGCATACAAGTTGCTGGTGGAAACTTGGTAACGAATAGAGTGGGCTGGATGGATCCTGCAGAAGGACTGCAGCAACTGTTTGCTATTTCGCAGGAGCACCGCAAATCAACATCAATAATTCGGCAAATGGATTTGGGGGGAAAAGGAAGGGGAAAGGTCATGGAAGACAACAACTAAAATTTATTGATATGCAAAAGTTTACGAGTTTTTGGTTTCTGCAACTTGGTTTTGCTTGCTCCTTGGACTTAGTCTTCCACTTTCGGGTAGGTATTCAGGACTTTTATAGATGCGGGTTTTGCAGTTGGCGTCGGATTGGAAAGGCAACAGAGAAAGGAGTTCGAAAGGATGGCAGAAGAAAAGTTTTTGTTCTTCGTTTTGCCAACACACACACACAGACACACACATATGTCTTTCTCAGTCGAAAAACTGTGCCTGTGTGTTTGTAAGGACAAGACCATTGTTCTCTGGCAGGCGAATAACAAAAGGAAACTTTTATTGAGCAAAAGTTTTTCACATACAAATTTTCTTGTTACGTTTTTTCCCCAGCGATAATAGATTGCCTCATCCCCACACACACACACATACACAGACATATACACACTCGCAAATACTGAACGAACATATTCGCATCGTTATCGTGGAATTATTTATGCATGAATGTGGGCAGCAGAAGAAACTACAAAAGAAACTAGATGATGTCGGAGGAGGGATCCAAGTTGCTCGCCTGCTCTTTGCCTCTCAATTTTGATAATTTCTTAAGAGTTTTTCTCCCAGTTTTTCACCAACTCCCATTCGTTTTTTCCCACAAAAGCACTATAAGCAGACAGTAAGTAGCGGTAAGTTGCGGATTTATCGAGTTGAGCGATTGGGAATGCAGTTCGTGTGGCAAAGGGAAAAATAATCTGCGAAAATTGCCATTGATGAGGTTCTCGAAAATTGAATTAATCCCAGATTGATGTGCAATGCAGCATTTGGCCTGAATTTGAAGTGGTCTGTAATTAAATTCTCGAATTATTCCACCTTGTGCTTTTGTGTGAGTTCATCTATTTTTACTTTTTGTAAGCTACTGCAAAAGTTTGAAATCTGTTGTACGTAAAAAAGTTTTCACTTTTACCGAGCTTAGCCCGCTTAGCCAAAAAGATTTGCATACAAAATGAACAGCGCTTAGAAATTATGCACATGAATTTTTTAGTTTTAATTTGTCTTTAGTCCTGTTCCAGCTGGCTTTCTTTCTGGCGCTGCCACTTTCTCCACCGTTTTTGCATATTTCATTCGCTTTTCACGCCCGCTCTCTCTTCCTTGTTCATTTAATATTAAAACAAAATGACGAGCCTGCGGGCCAAGAAAAAAGCCAAGAGTGCGGGAGAGAGCGAGACCAGATGAAGGAAAAACTGCAGCTAACGAGCACAGAACAGGGCAACAATGAGTGGGTTGGGTGGCGGCTCAGTGGGTTGGCGGGTCGGTGGACAGGGCACCTAGTTAGGCCTTTAAGGCAAAGCATTGACACCAAGCCGAGTCGAGGAGTGGGCCTAGAACAAAGCAACAGGACACAGGCAAAGCACAGAGGCGCAGAAAAGACAAGAACAGCAGGACAACAACAAAAAAAGAGGCCAACGTCTGATGAAGTGTCAAAATGAATGTGATAATAAAACAAATATGAGGGTCTGCCAGCGATCCTGAGTATCGGCCAGCCATTGTAGCTGGACACAAAGGCGACTTTGCCGACTTTTGACTGCGACATCACGAGTCGAGACTTTTGTTTTTATTTGCTTTTGTTGTCTAACCAGCGTAACCAGAAATAAACGAAAAACGAACAAAAAATGAAATCCATAACATAAAGACTAAGAATTATTTTTGGACATCCGAACAGTAAGCAGGAAACTTTATTAAAGATTAATGCATATTGACTTTATAATGGCATTAAATAAATTATCTATTTTACCATAGACTAAATCTTAAAAGAAACTTTTACTCAGTTAAGGTTCATCAATCAATTAAGAGGATACAAAAATGAAAGGTAATATTTAAACTAATGAAAACAATTTCAGCAAAACTGTTAGACTTTCAAACTATGTTCGGTAATTAGTAACTCAAAATGTAATATATATATAAAGAGTCATTAACTTTCCATTTTTGAGTCGTTAACTTTTCGCGAAGTCAAGCCATCTTTAAATTTGGCTTTCATCCTGGCTCTCTATTTTCCCCAACAGGCTGCGTCCATTTCGAAATGCCTTTTCAATGGCTGCACTTCCGTTTCGTTATTTCCTCTCTCCATATACTTTTTTCGGTTGATGACTCTGTTTTTGTTGTTGTTGTTATTGTCCGTCGGCAGGCCGCATAAAATTGCAATTTTATTGCAGTGGAGCATGAAAAAGTAATTGCTATTTCACAAAGCCAAGCCAAGTCGTTGGCCAGACAGGGAGCGGTGATGAGGAGAAGAGGGAGACATCGCTACGGAGGTGCGGCAACAGCTGCAAGGACTGTGTGCTGCAAGGACTATGGGAATGGGCCAGGACACTCGAGCGGGCCAATTTAATGTGCAAAATAAAAAACAACCAAAATTGGTTAGAAAATGCAGCTGCCTACAAAACACAAGCCGCAACAAGAGCAATAACAACGACAGCAAATTGGCCGATGCTCCCGAAAAAACGAAAATAAGAAGGAAATGTAAGAAATTCGTTTAGAAGGACTTGCAAATGCAAGGATACTCTTCAAAATTAACTTCGAAGCAAGGAATTGTTCTCGAAATCTATAAAAATAAACATTTTTACATGGTTTTTTTAGATAAGCTGATATATAATCTCCTATATTTAAAACATCTAAATAGCTAAGATTTTTATCTCATAAAGGTTGTACAAAATGTTCGTTCCCCTGATCTATGGTTCTTTTACGTTCTTTTCCTTGGCCAAAGGACCTCAGAGGAGAGTAAAAAGATGGCAGAAATGCTTGGAGTCGCGCTGTCCGCCGATATTAAAAATTGAAAGCAAAATGAAAACTGACGGGGCGCCAAACCACTTAAACTCCCAAAACCGATACAGGATGGGGTGAGAGACAGCGGGCGTGGGAGACAGCGGGAAATTGGGGGAACCAAAGTGATGAAGCTTGATGGCTGTCTGTTCAGAAGGGTGAACACTGTATACTGTACAGCCCCGGTCCCAGGACGACAGCCCACCTGCTAATGGTTGCGGGGAAGGGCGGGTGCAAGGATTTGTCAGAGGAGGAGAGACCAGAGCGAGAGAGCTCAGAAGCGAGCATTTTAATAGCGCCAAGGTGACGCTTAACCATTCAAAGCTTAATTTATGCAATAAAAATTCCAGCACTAACCCGCCCCTTCGGAGTCTCTCTCAATCCACCCCATACACAAACACACACACACATACAGTTGCCCTTAATTGGATGGGGCTTGGGAACTGGGAAAGCATTTAATTGCTTATGACTTTCTTGTTTTCCTTTTTCCAGTTTGTTTTTTTTGGGGCACGGATGAGGCAGATAGAGTAACCTGAGACGAGAGTAGCTTATAAATGGAAACAAATCGATAGATAGCTTTAAAGGGAAGCAAAAGGGAAATAATACAATGGAGACTAGAGGGGATGAAAAATATTGTATTTCTTTCAAAGAATAGATGTTTTAAGTTATATATTAATCTCTATAATTTATAAGAATATCCAAGTTTTACTTCCGATAATATTGTATCTTGAGGATATACATAATGTTCTGCCAGTGAAAGCTGGAACTGACATTCCGGGGAATTCCCTGGCAGGGCTATCAATCAAAATGCCTTGTGTCCACTATTGAAAATTATGAATGCCGTCACATTTAATGATTGATTTTAGTCCAGCCAACATTTCGGAGTCCCCACCTCCTATATCTCATCTCGAGCTTCACGTTTGATCCTTTATATTGCTGGATGGAGATGAGCAGGGGATTGTTTGTGCTTGGCTGATGGGCCCATCATCTGTCTCAGCCGCATGTGTGCGATGCTCAGAGCTTCTGGATGGGCTCCATAATGCAAAAGGCAGGCATGACATTGTGTTTTTCTTTCTTGTACAACCCTTTAGCTAATGATGAAAGGGAACTTGTGACATTTATCGTATAGATTGATAGAACCGAGTGGGAGTTGACATTTCTGCGAAAATTCCTGAATAATGCATGTCGATGAGGGTGTTGTAAGTTGTAAGCCAAAGCCAGTAGATAAGGTATATAATATTTCACTATGATGGAAAATCGTAGTACATAACAGAGAAATGTCAAGCTTAACAGAATAATCAAATCAGAAAACTAATCATTAAAAAGGAATATTTAAATGCAAGCTTTTCGCTTAAACGCAAATTAATTCTATCATCTCATGTTAGCGCCAAAAGACAAGTAATGAAACAACGGGGGCTGTCAGAAGCGAAGAGTCTTGAAGTCTTGAAGCATGCCAAAAGCCTTTCGGTAGCAATAAATGTCATACTTACAGGACATGACCAGGGAAGAGTAGAAAGGGCACTTGGCTGGCCAACGGGGCGTATGAACGATGTCATAGGGCAAGCGCATACTCGACACACTCATGAATACAGTAACATGTAACAGCCGCACACACATTTACAGCTGGTGTAAGCAACGTTGACGTTGTGCAAAGTTTAAATCTGATTAGCGATGGCATCCAGTGGAAAGTTGAAGGGGGTAGGGGTACGGGTAGTGACGAGGAGCAGCAGGAGGAGTACAATATGGCCGGGCGGAAACGGAAGTGCTGCCATAAAATCATAAACATGCACACGCATATGGGCAGACGGCAATTGTTGTTGAAACTGCCGCTGCTGTCGGTGTTGCATGAAACATGAACTGAAAGCCAACGCGACAGGACAGACACAAAAAACGAAAAGGGAATAACGACTTCGACTGCAGACACAGAAGTTGCCCCGTCGCACACACATGGCTAAAATTTATGAAATCAGCAAAGAGGCAGTGGTTCAAAATATATAAAAAACTTTTTATATTTATTTAAGTATCAAATTGAAATTTTAAAAATATCTTAAAACTTTCAGGCAATAACTAGAAAAAGATCAGACAACAGGAACGCAAAATTGGCAAAGCAAACCTTACAAATATTTTTTAATGAATAAAAACAGATTCCTGTTTTATTATTAAATAAATGTTTGCTATTTAACCACTTGAACCACCGTACCTATTTACGGTTCCATTGGTTGGCACGCTAACCGCGACACGCGAATGCGACTTACTCTGCGCCAGCCTGAAACATTGGCAACACTTTCCATCTTGGAGCTTTTTGCTCCTCCAACCCATATGGGCAGCCATTAATAACCCCAATATGTGTAAGTGGCATTCAAGCCATCTCCTCGCCACCATCTTCAGGTGGGGTTTTCCTTTATTTCATGCTGCTAATGGAACGGCAGGCATTTGAGCTGCTAACCAAACTTGGTCCTTGTCTTGTTGAAAATATTGTTGCCGTGACAAAGAATTTTTAAGCTTTTAGTGCAGCGCAGAAACGGCAAAAAATAAAGAAATACCATTAAAAAAGATTTTCTAAGCCCTCTTGCCACAGCCACTTGAGATGGGAAATTTTTGTGCAGCAAATGCTTGTTGAAAGTATTTATGGCATTGCAACTTTTCGGGACAGCAACAGCCACACATTGTTCGACATGACTTTGCTTAGTTTCTGTCAAATAGTTTTTGTTCCAGAAATTGTGGGACAACAAAAGTAAGGAATTTAGTTTAATTAACCAATAAATTCCGTTCCATGAAAGAGATTCTAAGTGATGCAATGTTGGCCGGTTAACCTTTTAAGTTTTGCAAAAGTGCCAATTAAAACTTAAAAGTTGAAACTTTTCAATTATATTCATTAAATGGTTTATACTTCAATAGGTCTCGTTCAGGTGAATCTCAACCAAGAGCGTTTATGCAACATGCCCTTTGAAGGGCCTCAACTGCGGCCTGCCACGCGTTAGCCACGAACAAGGACTAAGGACTTCTCAAGTGGGGGCGACGGAAGAAAAGAAAGAAAATAACCTTAGGCGCAGACGCTTCAAGTGGCATAGACTGGTCTGAGATGGCTGTTGTTGCCTCACTTGAGGCTGTCGTAAATGTCACAACTGGCAAACAACAATGACATCAACAAGGGGCAGGACAACGACAACGACAACGACAGCGACAACTCGGGCCCACAAAATATCCCACCCGTGAGTGGTTTTATGTGTCAAAGTGACAATATGTTGCCGGCGTGCATTATGTTGCCGTTGCCACCTCCGAACAATACGGCACAATGTGCAACTGTTGCACGTAATAAGGTGTTGCTGCTGTTGCTTTAGCTGATGTTGCATGCAGTCCTCGAGATAAATTGAATGGCACTCACCTTTAGCAGATAAATTCAAATATATCAATAAAAATATCCATGAGTGTTTATTAAGTCCGTTAATTATTTGCGTGCTGCTGCTGCTGTTGCTGCTGTTTTGACTGGGACTGCTCCTCAGTTGCGCCGCGAAGCTGCCTAAATAGGAAATGAAGGCGGTGGTGCTGATTGCGATCCCTCTGAGCAGGAGAACCGCTTGCTGTTGCACGTGAAGTTGCCACTGTTGCAGCGATGCCAGCAATATGTGCAGCACTTGCAACATCGAAGCCAATGTGGCCGGTGAAAGGTCATGACTCGATATCGGAATGCTGGGGTCGTTCTCAATGGTGCGACATTGCATGTAGGTGGCTGTCGGATGCAGATTGTTGTTGTTGTTGCTGTTGCTGTTGCTTATGCTGTTGCTATTGCTAGTGGTTGCTGCTGCTAATGTTGCTGCTGTTGCAGCTGCTGCTAATAATGCTGTTGCTGCCTCTGCCTCGTTTGGGGTTGCTGGTTTTCTTTTTCGTCGGCGACGCAATCTTTGTCGCTTGCGTGCACACAGTCTTATGTTTGTTGGTTGTTGGGTTGTTGCTTGATTGCCGGCAGCAATTGCTGCGGCTGTCTTTGGCGACAACATGTTGCTGCTATCTAGCTGTTCCTGCTGGTCATTGCTGCTCACGTGGGTGGCTACATCTTCCGCTCTTGGTGCTGGCTTTTGTCCTTGGCTATTGTGCTGCTTGTTTGCAATGTTGATGTGGTGTTTTGTACTTAAGCTCCTTGGTTGCAGTTGGTTGAGTTGCTGGTTTTGTCTCTTGCTGCTGCTGCTACTGCTGTTGCTATTACTGTTGCACGGGTGCGCTAATCTTACTGCCAGCCACAGCTCATCATCGTCAACTTCAGTCAGTTTCAGTTGTGCATTTTTCATAGTCTCTTTCGGTGTTGGTTGTTGCCAGCGGATATGTGGTCTGCTCTCTACTAGATTACAATAATTTAATTTTCGGACTTTTTTCGGCCTTATCCAGCTGTTGCAGCTTACATTGTCCCTTCTGCGTGGGGGCGCTGGCTTCTCTTTTGTGTTTTGTATTTTTTATGCCTGGGCTGCCCTTAATACCTACTAATCCTATGAAATTTTCACCGCCTTTTAACGTTTTCCTTTTATATCAATATGGCAAGTATATGTTTTATTGTTTGCAACATTATTATGTCTTTCTTTTGTCTTCTTATTTTCTTTACAACCCGAAGAGCGTTTTCCTATTATTTTTATGTGTTCTCTTACAATACAAGTTTATACTTAAGTTTCCTTCCTTTCCTTTCTTTTTGGGGCTTCTTTCACTTGGAGAGAACGGGAGCTTTCATGATATCATACCATCTTACAAGTTCTTAATTTGCTGTTGATGTTCCTGTTTTGCCTTTTCTCTCTCATTTGTTTGTGGTCTCCGATTTTTGTATAGTAGTTGCTATATTATTCTATATTTTCGTATTGTTTCGCTATAAATGTTGAGCTATTCAATTGTTAGTTCTTTTAATGCAATCCGTTGCAATTGTATATGGCAGTGCTTTGTAGCATTTGGTTTCTATTGAATTACTTGAATGGTATCTGTAATGAGAAAGAATAAATTTACATTAAGGCAAATATAAATGTAATTTTAAAAATATAGATTGAAATTGAAAAGCCTGAAAGCCCGTTCTTCACTTTAACTTAGACTAAGTCATGACTGTATTTGATTACAATGTTAATATAATGGATAATCTGAAGTGAATTGTCGTTAGCACAGCCTTATCCTTCCCTTTTAAGCTGCATGCATTAGGAATTTATCCTGCGGCAAATGCCATTTCAATTTGTCTGTATACAATTGCTCAAAATCAAAGCCTCTCTACCCATCTTGCTACCCGGGGCAATGGGCTACTACATATTTTGCAACAGACCACAAAGGAAACTACAACATGCACGAACTTCGATTGAAAGCGAAGAGCTCTCTAAGCAATTGGCCGAATTTCAGTTTCAATTACTCAAACTAATTAGTTTTGCTAAAACAATAAACCCTAACATTTTGCATGCTAATCACTCCCAGGAATTTGCGCAGCTGCCAGTCTAGCAAGTCCTGGTCAGGATGTGGCAGAAGATCCTGAATGGCCGAAAGGCCTACTTAATGCCAAGCACGAGTACTAAGCTGCAGTGATTCCGACATTCCCGCAGGACTCCTGGCCAACTCTCACTGGCAGTCTCAATAAATAATGCGTATGCAAAACGATAAGCACACAAGGGTCTTGGTATCCTGGCAAATGGCCGAGCAGGAATTGAAGCAGCTGCAGGATGCAAAATGCAAATGCCACAACGGGAAGCCTTCGGGCGAGGGACAGAGCGGAGAACTTACCATTCCTGACGTTGATGGACATGTGCGGTACATTTATGGCATGTCCTGTTAAGCAGGACTTTGGATTCGCCAGGAATGGACCATGGAGCTTATGCATATTTATGCCACAAGTTGCTACATTCTTCGTACAGTTTTGCATCGAAAAGTTTTTGAATATGAAAAAGACAATCAAGTTGGGAACCAAGCAATTACTTTGTCCAGACCTCTAACATACATAAGCCGTGGTTCTCTTGCCTGAAAACAGTCCAAATGTCAATTGAATTTTTTTTCTTTTGAAATGTCGACCGTTTTTGGCAGCTCTCAAAATAAAATAAAAAAATGTGACCGGCTGCCGGAGGCGAAAACAATAAATGCATAGAATAGAAATGTCAACAAACAGTCTCTCTTCTGTCAAAGTTCAGTTTTGCAACTGTCAGTGGAATTTGAATTAAAAGAAATGGAAATAGTTTTTCGTCTGGTACCAAGTGAGGGAGTTTTTCTCCTCTGACATGTAATAGGAAATATTGTTTTGCATCTAAAACGCTGTCAGGGGCACACAAACATCACAATACTGTTTCACTCTGATTGCCAGCTCTAAATATTTGCTTGGAAAAACATTCCATCTTGAAAACAATGTTCAATTTTAATGCCGAAAAGTCGGAATACCCACGTCAATTTTTTGGTCTGCTGCAAAGCTAACAAAAGATTGATATACTAAATTGAAAACTAATGGATTGCCAAAACCTTGAACTTCTGTTAGACTTACTATTGGAATAAGTAAAAATACACATTTTAAGTTTTATTTAGTATATGCTCATCTCATCTTTAAATTTAACTTATAATATAAAAAGAGTTAAAGTGACAAATACTTTTTGGGGAACTGCCGCCCATGAGCCGAAGAAATCTTTTTACAATAACAACCCGCTGTGAGCACTCAAAACAGCATTTAAACTGCAATTGAAACGTGTCCGGAAGGGAAGTGTCCAAATGGTGTGCATAAAGCGATGATTCGGGAGACAGGGGACAGCTGCTAGCGGTGGTGCGGAATTGCAACTTGCAACAGTTGGCCACGAGTTGTGGTGACATTTTATGGGTCACTTGGCTTGGGGACTCATAACAACAACAACAACAGCAAAAACTATAACAACGACGACGGCAATGCCACTCAAATATTTAGCTGGGCGATCGCAGGTGCCGGGGAAATGCCCCGAAAAGCAGGCAGCACTTTATTTCTTGGCTGCCTGCCCACTGGCAAATATTGCGCATACGAACCGTGAACAAACACTGGAAAGGTATCGGTTTTATTGCAATCGCTGTGAAATATTCGAAGAATTTTCGGTCGTCTAATCAGCTGAAGTGGCAGACCGCAGAAATTTTCTGCCATTTTCCCGCATTTGGCCACTTCACTTCAGCCAGTATTGATGTATGAAATTTTGTGAAATTTATGCGATGGTCGTCGCATAAAATGAACGACCAGCTCAGACACGAGTTCTGGGCAATGGGTTGTTATGAAGCTGGGAGGGATCTGGACGGGATGAGGGAGAATGGCAACTGTTGGCGTCGCATTGCAGATGAAACCATTTTTTCGGACTCCAGAGACTTTTCCGTTTGGCGCGTGAGCAAATTAATTTTCAGCGCACAGAGCAAAAAATTGTTTTTGCATGATGAACGGGGGGGAGGGGCAGGGCAGCGACAGCTACAGCGGCTAGAGATGGAAATGGGCAAACTGCATGGTGTAAATGATAGCCAACCCTTGGTGTGGTCGCCACTCGCCACTTCCCCTCACACAGCTGGCTCAATGAATTATGAATTCGCTTGGCAAAAAGTGGAAATTGTTATTTTTTCCCTTTTTTCATCCCGCCAGCCTGAACCTCTTTTCCCCTCGCCGCGAGTTTTCTCGGGGCTGGTTTTTATTTTGCGGCTTGGAAAAAGAATTATGTGCTGAATGTTCTTAGCCATGTTCCGAGCAGACTTTTCCTTGGCGGCTGTTATTCTTGTTGTTGTTTTAGAGTTGGCGAAACCTGGCGACAGTTTCGCAATGCTGGAAAATTAATATTTGTACAAGTGGATTTTCAGTTATATTTATCTGTTTTCCTTTTTTTTTCGGCTTTCAGCTAGCCGCGAAAAAGTTGATGACAAACTGCTGGAACTTTCGAAGGCATAAGGAGTAACTGTTCTTAAGTTGTTTCCTTTGCATGTGACAGGAATTTAGTGTCCAGTTCAGAATTCTGGTGGTTGCTTTTAAGTACTTTAATATGGAATTTATTTATGGCTAAAACTCTAGACCCTAATTACGCTGCTTTTTGATTCTTATTTGTTATACATTTTTAAACATTTTGCTCTCTAAAAATATTCGTTTGGCTGGCTACCAAGGTATGCCATAAATAAAATTAAAAGCGAAAATCAACAGAATTTTGTAAGCCCATAATGCAGAAACAATTTACACACGTCCATTGAAAGCCCACACATCTCCTTTGGTGTGTGTATTTATTATTTATGCGACTGCTACGGATGATTTATGTTCGGTTATATTTGTCGACAGGCGACACATTGAGAGAGGCAGGGAGACAACACCACTTTACATGTGTTTGGTTAAAAGTGTTTGCCGTTTTTAATGCAAATATGCGAACAACAATGGCAGCCAAAGCGTAGGCAGGGCGAGAACATTGTATGATCAACCGAAGGCAGGACCAAACATGGCCAACAAACAACCAACAAACAAACATGGCCCAGACGACAAGCAGCCGTAGCAGCAGTACAATGACAACGAAGAGCAGAAATATTCACGAGCATGTCGGTGGATATATGTACTTATGTGTGGCATGCAAAAGAGTTCGAACTGTAGGCAGCCAGCCCTCGGCCACGCCCAGTTTGGGGCTTGTCCGCCTCGAATGTAAAATATTTCCCTTGCCTGCCGCTCAAAAAATAATTTATCTGCACTTACACTGAGAACCGGAGATGCTGGCCATGCCATTATCATCATCACCATCATCATTATGATCATCGGTTAGTAGCACAAGCAAAGGCAAAAACATTGTCATTGACCGAAGTCAGAGTTCAATAGACTTAAGGCTAGAATTGAACTAGCAGCAAAAGCTGCCAATGAGGCTGGAAATGCAATTCATCACTCTAAGTTTTCCTGCCTTGAAAGGAAATTGAATTGGAATGGTAGACAGGAACGGGTGGAAGATGGGTGAAAATGCAGACAAGAATGAAATATCCCGAAAGGGAAATAATGTAAGTCAAAATGAATACAGCCCGATATGGAAAACTTAAGAAGTTATTTTACTCAAGTCTTAAAGAGATATTTCAAACCTTTTTCTAGCATTGTGGCTATTTGTATCCTTAAGATATAAACTGAGATGAAAGCCCACCCTCGGAAACATATGCTTCCAACTCATTGAGCAAAACTTTTCAAACAAAACCGAAGGAAGGAATAAACTATGCGATTTCAGAGTCTGCTTATGACCAAAAAATATGGCCAATTTAATGGGCCAGACCATATGAAGCTTATATGAACCCGACCTCGAAGACAACGTACGCCTTTTCCACTGACACATTACCGCTGGGATGAGGATAAGGTTGAGAATGAGATGGAGGTCCTAACCCTTACAACGCACCAACGCATCTCGGGCGAAACTAAAAATCATAAAAAGCAAACTTTGCTGACCAACACAATCCGAGGCACAGACACACAAGGGGAAAGACGTGAAAAGGCGAACAAAATATCATAAAGCAAGCGATTTTTTAACAATAAAATAAAAGAAAAGCACAACAAAAGGTGCGGCCCTGCCTATCTAACACCCTTTGGCCACTCCCAGCCTTGGGGAAACTGCGTTAACAACAGCACAGCTTGGCATTTAACATGGCCCATAAGACCAAATATAGAATGTCCAGGACCAAAAATAAATTACATGCCCATTATGGCCAAGAATCCGATTTTCGTAGATACACACACACTGAGCTCACGGACACACAGACAAGCCGAATGGAGAGGCGGAATGGACTTATTTCCACCCCTTTTCGAATGACCACCACTTGGCCAGAACGTGATTTACCAAATTAGTGTTGCTGCAGGTCCAAATGGCGTTGGCCGTAACCGAAATCACATAAAATATGGCTAATACAATCCTTAATAGTCAATTCGATAGCACATATACAACAACAAAAGGGTTTCACAATTGTTTCCTTCTTTTATGTTGGCTCAATCCGAAATATTTAAGCATAAGCAACTTATTCAGAG